TGAACAGTCTTATTGATAATGCCTGTTGTCTATAGGAAAATCTACTGCTGGAAATTTTCTTGTTAATCCCCTCGAGCCAAAGAATGCGGAGAAGCTCCAAGTGAAGATTGCTGATCTTGGAAATGCCTGTTGGGTGGTAAGTTACACTAGTCTCAGTGCTTTGTTTTGAAGCAACTCGTGATGAATGAGATTTGAATGTAGATCTGCTAACAGAAGAAAACATCTTCAGTTCTATATCCAGATTGCCAGTTAACATTTTAGTGACTATTTTTTCACTTCTTATAGGAAAGTTCAAATATATTTATTAAAGTAGAGAGAATGATATAATGAAACAATCCTGCCCAGTTAGGCATTTATTAACAGATCACCTTGAGGTTATTTTCAGTCACTGGACTTGTCAGATTTAGTATGGAGTCCCTTTTTATCCACATTATGGGGTTTTCAAATAGCTTGATTTTTAAGGGAGGAGTCTCTCTACTCCCTTTGCCAATTTTTCAATCTCCACACATCAGTACTTATCTTCATTTCACTCATAAATAACTTGACTATATTGCTCCCAATTCTTTTTTTCAGTTTTAGGTATTATTTCTTCCTCCTGAAAAGTAGGACTAATTTACCACCACTGCACCCATCCCCAGTCTTCCCAATTTAATATGATTTTTGGCTAGGTATTTATTCTGTGTTTCCTTATTAGGACTCTACTGTTATCTTTAGCTGAACTGAACATGTATTGTGTTAGGATTCTTTTTCCTTTTCTGCCTAACACTGTTTCATGCTTAGATGACTTTGTACACTTATCACTTAATTCAACCCCACATTTTCTCCCAGTGGTGTGAATACTTAGACTTTAACACAAAAAGATACCTTGGTATTCTTTCACCTTCTTTTTCCCTAAAAATCTCTATCCTGGAACCTGGAGTCTTCTGTCTGTGTTCATCCCTTGGATTGCCCTATAGGCCTGCTGCATTTCTGCCATTTGGGATCCTTTACTGTCGTCTTGGGGATTATTGTTTACTCTCTTTTTATATCCCCTGTTACTGTCTCTGATCTTTCTTGGTTTTGTTTTTGTTCCATTTTATGGAGTACATATAACTTCAGTAGCTTCCTAAGAAAGGATGTGTGAGATTGAGGAGGCAGAGGGGAGCCTTGCGTGTCTGATAATGTTTTGTGTTTTTTCTTTAATTAAATCTTTATTCAGATTATTACAGTTGTTCCTCCTTTACCCCCCATAGCTCCCCTCCACCCAGTTCCCACCCACCCTCTGCCTTTACCCCCCTCCCCCCGCACTGTCCTCATCCATAGGTGTACGATTTTTGTCCAGTCTCTTCCCGCACTCCCACACCCCTTTCCCCCCGAGAATTGTCAGTCCACTCCTTTCTATGCCCCTGGTTCTATTATATTCACAGTTATTCTGTTCATCAGATTATTTATTCACTTGATTTTTAGATTCACTTGTTGATAGATATGTATTTGTTGTTCATAGTTTTTATCTTTACTTTTTTCTTCTTCTTCCTCTTCTTAAAGAATACCTTTCAGCCCTGACCCGTTTGGCTCAGTGGATAGAGTGTCGGCCTGCGGACTGAAGGGTCCCAGGTTCGATTCCATTCAAGGGCATGTACCTTGGTTGCGGGCACATCCCCAGTTGGGGGTGTGCAGGAGGCAGCTGATCGATGTTTCTCTCTCATCAATATTTCTAACTCTCTATCCCTCTCCCTTCCTCTCTGTAAAATATCAATAAAATATATTAAAAAAAAGAATACTTTTCAGCATTTCATATAATACTGGTTTGGTGGTGATGAACTCCTTTAGCTTTTTCTTATCTGTGAAGCTCTTTATCTGACCTTCAATTCTGAATGATAGCTTTGCTGGATAAAGTAAACTTGTTTGTAGGTTCTTGCTATTCATCACTTTGAATATTTCTTGCCACTCCCTTCTGGCCTGCATAGTTTCTGTTGAGAAATCAGCTGACAGTCGTCTGGGTACTCCCTTGTAGGTAACTCACTGTTTTTCTCTTGCTGCTTTTAAGATTCTCCCTTTGTCTTTTGCTCTTGGCATTTTAATTATGATATGTCTTGGTGTGGTCCTCTTTGGATTCCTTTTGTTTGGGGTTCTCTGCGCTTCCTGGACTTGTAAGTCTATTTCTTTCACCAGGTAGGGGAAGTTTTCTGTCATTATTTATTCAAATAGGTTTTCAATATCTTTCTCTTTCTCTTCTGTCACCCCCATAATTCGGATGTTGGTACGCTTGAAGTTGTCCCAGAGGCTCCTTACACTATCTTCATATTTTTGGATTCTTTTTGCTTTTTGCTTTTCTGGTTGGGTGTTTTTTGCTTCTTCATATTTCAAATCTTTGACTTGATTCTTGCGATCCTCTTGTCTGCTGTTGGATCTCTGTATATTATTCTTTTTTTCAGTTAGTGTATGCTTAATTTCTAGTTGGTCCTTTTTCATATCCTTGAGGGTCTCACTAAATTTATCAGCGGTTTCTAGAAAATTCTTGAAAAACCTTATAACCGTGGTTTTGAACTCTATATCCAGTAGTTTGCTTTCCTCCATTTCTTTCATTTGTGACCTGTTTCTTTGTCTCCGCATTTTGGCTGCTTCCCTGTGTTGATAGAGTGGCTCTGTGTGCTAGGTGTCCTATAGGGCCCAGTGACTCAGCCTCCCCAATTACCTGAGGTGGACACTCTTGGTGCACCCCTTTGTGGGCTGTGGGCACAGTCTTGTTGTAGTTAAGCCTTGATTGTTGTTGGTATCACTGGGAGGAATTGACCTCCAGGCCAATTGGCTGTGAGAATCAGCTGTGTCTACGGTGGGAGAACTTCTGTGCTGGAGACACCCTTCTGGGGCAAGACTTGCTTCAGTGGGGCTTTGGTGCTCACTGAGTCTGCCCCCTGAGTGTGTCCCTTGTGGATCTGAGGAGTTGTAATCTGGAAGGTCTCACTCTGACCACTGGGTACACTGGCTCTTGGATCTCTAAGGAGGTGCTAATTTAGCCCTGCCTGATGCTACCCAACAGGAGCTATGGAGAGATCTACAGATTCCTCTTCCTTGTTTGGGGTTTGGAGGTGCCCAGATGAGGCCCAGCTGTGAAGCAGTGCAAGCTGCTGTGGGGCCTTGGGCTTTCTTTTGGAAGTTCTGGGTCTCTCTGACCCAGCTGCAGTTTGTTAGGTAATTTTAGATTGCAAAGGGCCAGGTCATTCATATGCAAAAGCCTCTGCGCACAGCTTGAATGGGACGGGGTCTAAGGGAATCAACAGGGTGGAGCAAGCAGCTATGGCTGCTCCTCAGTCCTACCCTAAGAGGCCCCGAGTCTCAGTGTCCTGTGGTAATCGCTGCAAGCACCTCTGAGAGAAAGCTGCCCTCGAGTTCCGACCTATGCCAGACAGTCCAGTTTCTCCCCGTATGAGTCTGGGTCCCCAGAGACTGGCCCAGAACTGGAGTTCAGAGCAGTCGGGAGCTTGTGTCTCCCTCCGGATTGTAAAAGACAACCACGTCCTCAGTTGCCAGCCCTTTCCGCGCACGCCTTCGTACCTCTGCACTTTACTTCTGCACCTCCTCTGAGTCTCAGTGTGCTTTTCTCTTTCCTTCTTGTTGTAGAATTTCCACTCAGCCAGCCTTCCTGTGGTTCTGGATGATGTCCGTTTTGTCTTTTAGTTGTATTTTTGAAGTGGTTGTACGAGGCAGCAATTTCTGGTATTTACCTATGCCGCCATCTTGGTTTCTCTGATAATGTTTTTATTCTGCTTTTACAATCAGTTGGCTGGGCATCAAGTTCTAGGTTGAAAATCATTTCCCCTCAGTGTGGTTGTAATTGCTCCATTCTTGTCTTTTAGTTTCCTGTCTTGTTGCTGCTAAAGCCCAATGCCATTCTGATTCCTGACCCTTTGTATGAAGCCTTTCCCCATGGAAGTCTGAGGGCTATCACTTTGAAGCAGTGTGTGCCTGACTAGCTCTGTTTTCATCCATTATGCTATGGACTCAATAGTGAAATTCGAATTCCTTGGTTTTTCTTAATTTTTTTTTTTAATTCTCTTCTTTTCCTTGGTCTCTGTTCTCTAGCTCTGAAGTCGCATTATTCAAATGTTAGACCTCCTATGCAGGTGCTATCATTTCTGACCTTTCCTATTTTCTATTGTTTTATTTTCTGGAAGATTTTCTTTTCCCAGTGGGAGGGGGATGGCAGTTTCTTGTCCAACACTCTCAGAAGGGGGGTGGCCAGGGGGCTCCGTCTGCATCTCCTCCCTGCATTTGGTTAAATCAACAACTTTTCTTCTCAAATCCCTATGCTGTATAAGATAGACAATGCCCCCCACCCCTACCCCCAGGAGGGGTTTAGGCAGATGTATGGGCTTGGGGGTAAAGTTCAAGTATTCATTTCTCCCTCCAAGATTACACTGCGCCCAGGCCATGAGAGTAGATCCCAACCTTGGGGTTTCTGGTGATGTTAATAGCCCTTCTCTCAGAAACCTCAAGATGAGCTCCCTACCCCTTTCCCTGACCATCACAAACCATAGTCCTAAACCCTAGAGTCTATGCAAGGAGGGGTCCTCAGAACTCCACTCTTCTGAGGCCCCTGCCCTCCTGGTATGGAGTGATGGGGGCAGGCGGCCTTCTCAAGTAGTGACGCCTCGGATCAAGTGGCGAGGGGAAGGGAGAGGGCTGAGGACCTCAGGAGGTAGGCTGGGAGGGGCCTGGTGGATAAAGTCAGACAGCTTGGTCTGCCTCCTCACCCCACACCCCGGGACCCTAATCCCTGAGAGTCTGCCGGCCAAGGCCATATAGGTGGGGTGGGGGAGTTAAGTAGGTCCTTATCCCCCAACTCCATCCAGCCCTGTTGGGGACATGAAGCTTTGGAAGGGCTAGGACTGGGCTCCAGGTCAGCTCTCAAGCTCTGACCTTCCAGAACAGCTGAATCGGGGATACAGGATAGGCCTACTAACCCCCATATCCCATATTCTGGCCTGTGGCAGAGTGGTGGGGACAAGGGGTGGGTGGGGGTGTCCTAAGGGTGTTATAAAAAGCTAAAACCATTAAAAACTTCTTGGGGAAATGTGCCTCTTAGCTTCTTGCTTCCCCAAGTTATCAACCTCCCTAAAGCCCATCAGAGAGAGCTGAGCCCAGAGAGGGGGCCCATTAGCACCATGCAATGTTGGGGTGCCCCCGCAGCCTGACCGACCCCAAGCAGGGGCCCTTTAAAGCTGGAGTGCCACTTGCTAAAGCTTCTGTACCCTTGAGGGGGGACCCCTGCAGGGGACGGGTGAGGGAAGAAGGCTTGGCCAAAGTCCAGGCGGGCGTCTCAGCTGGGACCCCAAAGGACCCTTCCTGGGGTCATGACTTAAAAAATCTTCGTACCACAAACTGGCCCAACAGAACCACAGCCAGAACTATCAGTACTTTCCGGATGGGGCCATTGCCCAGGTCCAGGGCCGCTCCTCTGCGCCATCCACCCGGGCACCGTAGTGATGCCACCACAAAGCTGGTCACCTGGCCCAGGAAATGGGTCAGGCCTCACTGGTAGGTGTAGAGGGCCAGGCAGTAGCCGAAGCCCAGGAGAGCCACCACCTGGCCCCAGTTGATGTCACTCTCAAACAGGCTGGAGGCAATCTTGGTGAAGTACTCGTAGGCGTTCTCTGGTGTCAGCTGCAGGTGCTGCAGCATGGTGTAGCACTGGTTGATGTTGTCCCTGGTGATGGCAAGCTGCCGACCCACCTGCACCAAGGTGCTGGCAGGCTCTGGGGACAAGGTGACCATCTCTGGGTCAGTGGGAGCAGCTGACCCCTCAGCTTCCTGCTCCTGCTGATGGCGATAAAAAATGTAGTTGCAGAAAACCTCCTCTGTGTCCGGGGCTACCTGCTCCTCCAAAGTGGAGGACAGGGCAGGCCCTTCACACCCATGCCTGGGAGGGCCGGGTCCTTGCCCAGATGCCATTTTTCAGGTCCCAGGGGAGAGCATTGTTAGCCCAGACCCCGGCCTAGGCCAGGGATGGCTCAGTGGGGCCAAGGCTGGAGATCCCAAGGGGGTGCTTCAGGGTTAGCTGCCCAGGCCCGGCTTCCAGGAGTGACTGTCAGTGAATTCCTGGTGTCCAGATGCAGTTTCTGCGGGTCCCAGTGCGGCCCTCGGCACCCAAGAGGCTTCGGAGAGCGTGGAGGAGCCGGCAGCTCTTCTGGAAGATTTTTTAACTTGTTCTCAAGAAGCCTTATTTTTACTCTCCAGGTTTTTTGGTTCTCTGATTAACTTTCAGAGGATATTGATCATTTTCCCAATTGTGATATTTTCTTCCTATAAGGTGTTACCTCCTTTCTGTTTAGGATCACTAAACAAAGGACCATATGACCATATGAATGGAGTTACTAGAAAGCATTTGGACTCCGCCTGGGTGGATCTTGTTGACTGTTATTCACTATAGAATGATCTGTCTGGGCTGTCTTTTTTTTTTTTTTTTTTCAATTACAGTTGATATACAAGATTATATTAGTTTCAGGTGTACAACATAGCGATTGGGCATTTATATAACTTACGAAGTGATCACTCTGGTAAGTCTAGTACCCACCTGGCACCATACATAGTTATTACAATACTAGAGGCCCGGTGCACAAAAATTTGTGCACTCGGGGGGAAAGGGGGGTCCCTCAGCCCGGCCTGTGCCCTCTCGCAGTCTGGGACCCCTCAGGAGATAACGACTTGCTGGCTTAGGCCTGCTCCTGGGTGGCAGAGGGCAGGCCCAATCCCTAGGTGCAGCCCCTGGTCGGGCTCAGAGCAGGGCTGATTGGGGAGTTGGGGCGCTGCCCCCTGTCATGCACAGAGCAGGGTGGATTGGGAGGTTGCGATGCCACCCTCAGTCACACTCAGGGTAGGGCTGATTGGGGGGTTGGGGCACCACCCCCTATCACACTCAAGGCAGGGTCAATGGGGAGGTTGCGGCGCCACCCCCTGTGATGCACAGAGCAGGGCCAATCAGGGGGTTGGGGAGCTCCCCCCTGTCACTCACAGAGTAGGGCCGATAGGGGAGTTAGGGCACCGCCCCCTGTCACACACACAGCAGGGTGGATCAGGGGGTTGGGGCGCCGCCCTCTATCACCCACAGAGCAGGGCCCATCAGGGGGTTGGGGCGCCGCCACTGTCACACTCGGGGCAGGGCCGATGGGGAGGTTATGGCTCTACCCCGTCACACACAGAGCCAGGCCCGTGGGGGGGGGGGGTTTGGGCCCCCACCCCCTGTCACACACAGAGCAGGGCCCATCAAGGGGTTGGGGACCCCGCACCCTGTCACACACAGAGCCGCAGGGCGATCAGGGGGTTTGGGCCCCTGCACCCTGTCATGCTGATCTGGGGGCCAGGAGGCCCTTGCGGCTCCCCTGATCCCGGGGGCTGGGAGGCATATTACCCCTTTTACTATATAGGAAAAAAAGGCCTTGGGGGCCGGGCTGGGTTTGCCCCTGAAAGGGTGTCCCTGGGATCAGGGGGTGGGGGTCCCCACTGGGGTGCCTGGCCAGCCTGGATGAGGGGATGATGGCTGTTTGCAGCTGGTCACACACCCTTCAGGGTGGGGGTCCTCACTGGGGTGCCTGGCCAGTCTGGGTGAGGGGCTGAGGGCTGTGTTCAGGCTGACTGAAGCTCCCAACCGCTCCTTTTTTTCTTTTTTTTTTTTTCTTCTGGGCCAGCTTTAGCTCTGGCTCTAGCTCTGAGGCTTCCGCTGCTGGTTTGTTTGCCGTTCTATAATCGAAACAATGTATAACTTCAGCTCTGAGATCCCAGCCGGCTATATTTGTTAGAATGTTTCAAACTGCCAGCTCAGAGGCCGGCAAGTGCGGGGAACGTTGGAGTCTGCAGTCACGGGAGCAAGCAAGCCTCACGTTCGCTTCCAACTGCCTGGCTGCCGGCCGCCATCTTGGCTGACAGTTAATTTGCATAAGGATACGCTGATTAGCCAATGGGAAGGGTAGCAGTCGTACACCAATTACCATTTTTCTCTTTTATTAGTGTAGATTATTGACTGTGTTCCCTATGCTGAACTTTACATCCTGTGAGTGTTTTTATTTTATAACTGGCAGTTTGTACATCTGTCAGGCCATTTCATTTCATCCTCAGATGTCAGGATCTCTGGATCTTTCCGCTTAAATTGGTCATATTTCCCACAGAAACTTATAGTCTTCCTTAGATTTCCTACCCAGAGAGTAAAAGCTTGGCTACTAGCACTCTGGGAGCTGAGTTAAGCAAGAAAACTGGGGCTCGCCATGCAATTAGAGTCACTTAATTTCCCTGTCTTCAGAACGGTACTCTCTCCTCAACTGTACAGAGCATCTCCGGAGACCCTGTTGTACCCATTCCAGAGAAAACCTCCAAATGGTCTGTGGGCCATAAGGGCTGTTAGACTATATCAAGCCCTGTGTTCTGGAGCTCTGTTTCTTTAAAAGGTGTTTTAAAGGATCATTCCTGTATTGAATCCCCCCCTTCATCCGTATTTCCAGAGATACTTGATACCACCAATCCCTGAGCCTTAGGGGAGGTGTACTGTAGTATGCATCACATTGCTTCTCAGCTTTCACCAGTGGCTTATTATTCAGCTTTTTTGGATCCATTAAGACATTCACCAAAGATCTCTCTGCTTTCCAACTTTTAATTTTCATTGCTTTGATTTCTTTGCCACTATCCTTGTCAGTTTATACTTTAAAAATTAACACTGCATTCTCTATTAAAGTGGAGTTTCAGGAGTGAGTGGAAGTGTGTGTATGTATCCAATCCACCTTCTTTATTTTTGCTAATACTTGACCTCATTTATCATTTACAGAATCTGTGTAAGGCATTAGTGAGGCACATGAATAAAGACAACTCCTTTGATCAACATGTTCATTTTTACAAATGGGTCACCTACAGTTCATTTCCACTTCAAACTCAATATTGGAATCCCTTGTTTTCTCATAAAGCCATTTTCCTCTCTAAGTCTCTTCATAAACATTCTTTTAAGTTCGTTCATTTGAAATAAGATCCAAATAAACCCATGAGTGCAAAATTGGGTACTAAATCTCTTAAGTTACCTTTACTATAGAGGTGTTTCCTCCTTTTTCCCCCCATACATTTTATGTGTTAAAGAAACTCCACTTGTTTTGCTGGTTGTGTCCTCATGTACTTAGCATGGTCTGTTTCCCCAAGATTCCTGTTTGATTTTTTTGGTGGGGTGATGGGGACAAGAGAATGAGGGTGAGAATTCTTTTCTTTAATTGAGGTAACATTGGTTTTTAACATTATATTAGCATTTCTTATCAGCTTTTGTTTTGTCTTGGAAAGCATTTCTCCTTCAAATCTAAGGATAACTTTACTCCATAAATTATTCTTGGCTGGCAGTTTGTTGTTTTCATCCTCACCCTAAAGTATGTTTTGTTTTTAATTGATTTGAGAGAAAGCGACAGAAACACCAATGAGAGAGAGAAACATCAGTCAGTTGCTCCAGGCAGGAATGGAACCTGCCACCTTTTTGGTGTACGGGGACAGCACTACAACCACCTTGAGCCTCCTGGCCAGGGCTTGGCTGGCAGTTTTAATCTTTCAGTATTTTCGATATGTCCTTCCACTCCTAGCCTGATAAGGGTTCCTGTCTAGGTTATTTTCTTCTTTTTCCCTGGCTGCCTTTACAATTCTTTAGCATTGACTTTTTTTTTTCTTTTTTACCATAGAGTTTTCCTTACAAGCATCTTTAAATTGTTTTATTATTTTCTTTTTCTTTTTTTTTCATTTTTTTTTATTAGTTAAGGTATTACAAATGTGTCCTCAGCCCACCCCCCCTGCACACTCATGCTCCCATCCCCCTGTTGTCCATGTCCATTGGTTTGGCTTATACACGTGCATACAAGTCCTTCGGTTGACCTCTTCCCCTTACCCCCTCCCTCCCCTACTTTCCTTCTGGGGATTGATAGCCTGCATTGACTTTTGACAGTTTAATATAATGTGTCTTAAAGAATGTCTCTTTGTATTGAGATAATTAGGTGTTCTTTGACCTTCCTGTATGTCCAACTCATCCAGGTTTGGAAACTCCTCATCTATTATTTCTTTAAATAGGCTCTCTGTCCCCTTCTCCATCACTTCTCCTTTTTGGGATACCCATTATTCTTATTTTTCCCTTCTGATGGAGTGGGATAGTTCTCATAGAGTTGCATGTCTTTTTAAAATCTTAGTTCTCTCTGCTCTTCCCCCTGAATCATCTGTAGATTCCTATAATTGAGCCTGCTAATTCTCATTTCCAGCCAGTCTACTCTAATTCCAGTGCTTTCTAATGTATTCTTTATCTTACTTGTTGAGTTTTTCAGCCCCAGATTTTTTGTTTGGTTCTTTTTTAGAGTTTCAATATCTTTTGTACAGCATTCCTTTTGTTCAGTAATTTTATTCTTGAACTCATTGGACTGCCTTTCTGAGTTTTCTTGTATCTCGTTGAATTTTGTTTTATGACAGCTGTTTTGAATTCTGTGTCATTTAGATCAGTCTTCCATGACACTGAGTTTGGTTGCTGGGCAGATGTCATTTTATTTTTGTACTACTGTGTTACTGTGATTATCCATGGTGTTTGATTCCTCTGCTGGCGCATCTGAAGTAGTGAACACTTTTCTTGCTTAGGTACAGCTTTGTTTAAATTTAACAATTCAACAAGTTGGTACTTAGAGGCCTCTTTTGTTTTCCATTAGGTGGCACTATAGCACAAGTTTTTGGTTTCTCTTACCTGAGTGGACTCTGGGTATATTTGACAGCTAGCATTTTCTTTCTTTCTTTTTAAATCTTTATTGTTGAAAGTATTATATATGCCCCCTTTTCCCTCCTATTGACCCCTTCTAGTCAGCCCAAGAGTTAGTATTTTCTACCCTCCACAGCTGCTGTCAGAGATATCACAGGCTCTCTTTGTAGCAGCTTGTGCCTCCAGGGTCACTGGTGCCTTCCAGTGT